CGAACCCAACGACACCAAATTTGACTCAATCCGAGCCCAAATGAGTCCAAATCAAGGACCTAAAGCGCTGTTGGAAGGTTCGAACCACAATTTGAGTTACCAAACGGTCTCCGATTTTGGCGAGCTTATAGTCGAATCGAACGGCTCGACGAGACGAATCCAACGAGCCCAAGATCCGACATCACTAAGGTCTTCAAATGGCTGACAAACGGTGTATGATCAAAGGATTCAATATCAGCCGTCCATTCAACCACTCCCTGTTCGCCCTTGATCTCACACATATTTACAAGTTGTGCCACTCTAAAAAAACTATAAATAGAGCCCTCATTCTTCACAAGAGGGAGGGAAGTGAAGAGAGAGAAGAAGAAGGGAAGAAGAAGAGAAAGGGTAAAAGGAGAATCCTCTCCTCCTCGACCACCGCCAGAGTACGTCTGCCACCCGAACACGTCGGGATTCTGCGTGATATTTGGGAGAACGCAGGAATTTTGCCCAACTTCCACGTGATGCTGAAATTCTTCCTAATTTATAACAAGAGTAAATAAGTTTCCTTGAAGAAATAGAGAAATTAAATGGCTAGGCATTTATGCATATACTCTACGTGATCACTCTATGGCTTGGTCTAAAGATTTAGGCAGTGTATTCACACTTTTTTACAAATATTTATTATAAGATCAAATTCATAGTATCTTTGTAAAAATACCTCATCAAATGACAGGCACCTGGCTAGAAAGCTTCTCAAGTTGCACCTGATAATCTATTGCTGTTGAAGTTTGTGTGAGCTTGGCCAACTCAGCTTGGAGGTTGTGGTACCTCAACAAACCAAAGCGATTGCATAAAGCAAACAAGAACTTCTCCCAAGAAGTGAGATGTTTATTCTTGACTAACTAGAGATAACATTCTTTTGCAATGTTATCCATGAGGAAGTAATGGTTTTATCTTATAGGCATTGGATACTTGTGAAACCCATAATTTTGTTTGATTTTCTGAATCCAAGTGGTAATATGTATCATTTTAAACGGCGTTTATCTCTAATGCATATATATAGAGTAAGTCTGGGGGGAATCCGAATCTGATCAATCTCACACGGCTGATCATTTGTTCTGATCTAAAATCATTTAAACCACATATAATGAGCTAAAAAGTCTAACAAGTCATTCAATCTTACAACTAACTTAACACACGATAAAGAAGCAATATGCACGTCCTCAATCAATTCGTAGCAATAGCAGTCATATAATCATGCTTGAATTGATACAGAAATAGTAAAACACATATATAGTAGCAGTAAAGTACAATAGGAAACCAATAAACTGTTACAGATGTCGAACAATAAAACAATCATTGTATCATTTTATCAATCAATAACAAAATCGTATAAAGACGTAAAATCAAAGCATCCATAAAGACTGTCAGAATATTATCAATGTGGTAAAATCCTAGAATGATGTACACATTTATCCAATTATTCTATATCATTATCAAATCAAGTAAGAAGTCCTAATTTAAGGGATGTTTTTCTAGCAAGAAGTAATATATATCAATATCCCGTTGGTTCAGTAAATAGTGTTGTTACTCTTCTCCTGTCAGCATAATAATAATTCTTTATAACTCCCAATTAATATCACATGAAATAGTAAAGGATAACACCAAATCACAATATTTAAAGGAAAGCTCGTCGGCCCATCATCTTGTACAAGTCAGTAAGACTTCAACCAATATTAGCGAAACTAGCTTTTAATTGTCCTCACATATATTATTATCATAATACTATAACAATAATAGCGACCAACTATTACATCAACTACATATTCGCATTCATTTCTAACGTTTGAATTAACAATTACATGTTTACAATAAAAATATCAGTTATTTAATCAATAGAAACAGTACAATATACATTTACTTCCGTTTTACCTGGTGAAATTCAATAAATATTACAGTCAAAATGTTCAAAATAATCAGTACGATAAAATACAAAACACTGTGTGCTACAAGTTCAACAAATCTTGGAAAAATGCAATAAAAATAGTTCTTTTGAGAATCAAACAGTTAAAATCAAAATCTTTAAAAGCAGAGATAAGATTGAAATCATCTATAGTGATCTAAGCAATTTCTATAAAAACATCAAAGCGACCCAGTAGCTAAAAATTGATTTTCTCCCTTTCTCTCGGTTGCGCTGCAATTCAAATAGATTTTTTTTTTTTCATTTTCAATTATTTTTATAAATTTGGATTGTTACAGTATCTGGCTTCTACTACATGTTGAGGTGATCGCTTGGATTCATATATTTCAACCATCTTCTTATTCCTATTGGTTTTAATAAGATTAGTTTATTTCTCACTAAAATATTTCATAACGTTTGAAGATAAAGAAGTATGTTTTATTAGTGAGCTTCACTAATGCTAATGTATATTTTTATGAATTCAATTCTTGGATTATAGCTCAAAATTTTGTTGATTTTGATATTTTATGTTACTTTATTGCAATTACGTACAATGATAAAACTGAGGCTTCCAACATCTAGGTATTATAATATATTTCTCACGTTTAAAAAAAAAAACTCATGTTTTTCATTTTACACCAAATGAATGGTAGAATTTAATTGTAAATTTCAAAAAAATTGTGTTAAGATATCCTCATACAATGTGTAGATTTACTTGAAAATTTAATATAATTTGTCACAATGAGGTTGAAAATCATTGGAATGCTTTGCGATTGAATAACAGCCAGAAGATAATTAACAATCGAGCGATGATGATTAGGAGCTGTTTCAATGTATAAGTAATTAATCAAAATTTATTTCTCCTTTATCTAAAAAAAACTAATAAATTTGAGATTCATTTTGGGTCGAAAAATTTTAATGAAAATATTTTTTTTTTCTATAAATATTTTAAAATTGACAACGTGGATTAATTTTTAGATAGGTTTGGTAAGAGAAACAAAGGTTTCGTTTGGGATAGTTTCTAGCCACAGCTTTTTAGCTACTTTAAAAAAAAATTATACTAAAATTTATATTTTTTATGAAGCACTAAGCAAGCTCTCAAATAAAGCCAAAGAATGATTTGGGTTATCCCAAAATAAAACATAAAACTAATAAATAAATGTCTATCAATGGGCCAATCTAATTAAAACAAAACAAAGCTCAAGCCCGAGTTTTGTTCAATAAACTTGAATAATGGTTTGTTTAATTAATTATTGATACGTTAATTTATGAACTAATTTTATAAGTATGTTGAAAAAAACTCTAAAACGGGTTTAGCCCATGTACACCCATGACCATTTGTGCTGGTAATTATTCGTACGTGTCTTGCAAATTATGTTTGAGTCGAGTGGAAGAAGGATCCACTCCTTTCTTGAAGTCGTTCAAGGGACTTGCTGAAGAGCTATGAAGGAGCTTAACACTCAAGCAGAGCGAACAAGCACCAGCCATCCCCCCAGACGAGGGCAACCTCATAAGCTCCTCTCACAATCAAACATATCTTTATTTATCTCTGTTAGAATCAAAACTCTCACACGAGATACATCAAACAACTAATGACACATACCGCCTCTATAGATATCTCTTACAATTGGGTTGATCTGAAGGCCCCATCAAGATATTACTCGCCCCTTCCCACCATAATAAAGGGACACCAAATCGGCTTTTTGCACTATGCCAGCTCATTCTCTTGACCATACTCCGACGATACTCTCCCCTTCTCATGTCAATGGGACAATTCCAAACCAGCTTCCAGCCATCGTCAACAGGTTTCCATAAGTTCACTCGACTCGCCCTCCTCAATCATTATTCCACTCCGCATTAATGGTCGAACTACAATAAAGACTGATGGAACAACCACCATACATGGGAAGTACTCCCTACGTCATTTTGAATCCTATAAAAAGGGAGAGAAGAAGCATACATTAAATAGAGGAAGCGAGGAGGCTGGCACACAAGAGAATGCATAACCAAACCCACGATAAAACCCACAAGAAATGAGAGGCATTGTGTCCACAAGAAAAGAGAGATATTATTTCATTTTTCCCTTTCTTAGCTTAAGCTCTTAATTCAGAGCTCTTGCTTTCATTACTTGCATACATTTGGCTCGAATGTTAAAGATTTTGTCAAGATCCACACTTTCTCTCATATTCTCTCTTTTTCTTATATTCAAACTTCATTACCTTCTGCCCACAGGCTTTCACACCATAGGTAGCATGAAGTACGTCCTAGCGTCATCCGTTTGACAAAATGGGATTCAACAGCCCAACTTGTTATCTTGCACATTTTTAACCAAACAAAGACCAAAATCAATATCAAATAAGCCCATAATGCATCTCAGTTTTGATTCAAGAAAGATTAATTCATCTCTTGCAAAAAAATCAATGTTCAATATATTTAATTGATCAGAATTATAAAATCAATCAATCAATTTTGCAAATTGATCATGATTTTTAATAAGATATGTTTGAAATTTCATGTAATTTTATATCTTTATAAAGAAAAAATATTTTTAAATGTTTGCAAATAAGAACAAACTCATACACATGTCACATAGACAAATTTCTTACACATATCACATAGGCAAATTTCTTGATTGATAGTCAAGCTCCCAATAATAGACAAAAATGAGCTGCATATTAAGAATGATCTCAAATAAAACAACATTATTATAAATTTATTATGAAACCTACTTTTTTGGTATCGAATTTCATTTTTGAAAAAAAATATATATATATTATTTTTTGAATTAAAAAAAAGTCTGATATAAATAAGAATTAATTGTAGTTATTTACAAAATTGATTATTTATTATTGTTATATTATATGTCAAAACTATCCTTTTTTTTATTATATTCTAATCAAAATTTAATTAAAATCATTCTCAATTTTTATTATAACTAAAAATTGTTTTCAATTTAAATTATATTTATTTAAAATAAATTGAATTACTTTGAATTTGTTCTTCATAATATTCAGACAATTTTGAGGCTCAAATGGTGAAGCATTCCCTTTCTCGGAAATCCCAATCACCATCACGATCACTCGATCAGTGTGCATAGCGCAACCTCCACGGCGCCACTGAAGATCCAACGGCTATAATACTCTGTCCAGTTTTCGCCCCAGAGAGACAGCTTCCCATAGCTTTCCTCTCTCTCTACTCGGCGTCCTTTTTTGAATACTGCCCCTCCTGTGAACTCTTCTTGACGCGTAGTATCCCACCCAACTCGACGTCATAGAAACGAGATGCTTTTCGGCATCGGGAGCTCCGATAAATTTCTAGCTTTCTGCCCCGTTGTTCAACGCTATTTGAGTATTTTCTCTGCTTCTGAATGGATTTCTAGCTCTCAGGAGAAGAGATAGCGGGAGATTGCTCAAGGTGCAAGCTTGTAGATCGAGGTACTGAAAAGCTACCTCCTTTTTTGATTTATTTTGGTTTTTTTTTTTTTGGGTGGTTTTCGTGCTTGTTCTATATCTGTTTTTTCTTATGAAGCTTTCAAAATCCAGGGTCTACTGAAATCCAAAGAAGGATGCTTCCATCTGCTTCCAATCCGAAGAGTACTTCGGTCAAAATGTCCATAGGGTCTTTTGTTTCACCTGAATTCCAGGATTCGGTACTTTCGAAGGTTGCTGAGTGGAAGCCCTTTTCGAAATTCCAATCGTTTCAAGAGGTACTAATGAGAAATCATAACTCTCCTTCTTTTCATTTGATAATTTGATTCCAATTGTTTCTATGATTTAGAGAGTGATGATTTTGATTTCACTTATTTGGTGTGTGAAATATGAAATTATTATATTTGGTTGAGGTTTGAGGAGTTTTGGGGAGTTTGAAATCAATTTTGATTGCTAACTACGTCCAGGCAAATGATGAATTTAAGATATTTCGTTATTTTTTATGAGGTGTTTTCTAATTTCAATCAACCAAATGTGCTACATGACGCAGAAACAAAGATCAATAGAAGTTTCTGAAACACAACTAGATTTGGGCGAGCTCCATGAGGAGCTCAGGAGGGCAAATGAGGAGAGATCCCTTGCTTTTGAAGAGTTTGTTAAATTGAAACGGATGAATGGAAAATCCATGCAGGACATAGATAAGATTAGGCTTATAGAATTACAAGCTGAAAAAGCAATGGAATCAGAAAGAAAAATGCTTGAGTCCATGATTCATCAGACCAAACAGCTTGAGCAAACAAAAATTTCACTTGAAGAGGCAAAATTAGAGGTAAGGAATCTTCAAGAGAACATAAGAATGATGCAGGATTCAACAGGTATAAACCGTCGAAGTTTAGATGGCAAGGAATCATTAGAACCGGTTGTTACCCAAGAGGAGATGAGGCAGCTTAGAAACGATCTTAGGTTGGCACTGGATGCAGAAGAGAAAAGCAAGAAAGCCATGGATGATTTTGCAATTGCACTCAAGGAATTAAGTACTGAAGCAAACCAAGCAAATTCTGAGCTTACCATAATACAATCCGAGTTAGAGAAAACAAGAGAAGAAGCTAAATGTGATAATTCTTTGCTAAAAAACACTGAGCAGAAGCTAGTTGAGGCTTTGGAAGTGTACAATAGAATGAAATTGGAATATGAGAAATCTGTTGTTGCTTGGATGGATAAAGAGGAAAATATGGTGAACAGAATAAGGATTTCTGAAGAACAGCTCACCAAGGAGAAGCAAGAGAACAGTCGGATGACTAATGCTTGGAAGAATGCAAGAGAAGAGAATACTAAGCTGCGAGAAATAATCAAGCAAGCAGTGAATGAGGCTACCATGGTAAAGGAAGCCCTGGAGAATGCCCGAAATGAGAATTCTCAGCTCAAGAACCAGCTCTTTGAGAAGGAAAATGCATTGCAGCAAATAAGGCATGATTACGATAGCCTAAAAGTCAGTGAAGTTGCTGCTCTTGATTGTGTGAGGGAGCTGAAAAGCTTACTTGCATCATCTTCGACTACAGGTTCAAACAAGACCTCAAAATCCTCAGAGATTGGATCATTTCGACTTTCAAAAACAACAATTCATGGTGCAAAGATGAATAAGTGTTTGAAAATTTTCCCTTCTGAGAAGTGGAAACCTGATTACCATCCTGTTAGCAATATCCGCAGGCGATCCATGGCAGAGTCAGCGACCTTCAAGGGTTCTATTTTGGATAAGGACCAACCACATGAAACAAAGAAAATGATGCGTACTTCAAGTAGCGATATCTTCGATATTCGAACTCCATTGTTCGAAGTTGAGAGGGGAAACATAAGCTTAGACAAGCCTGATGATTTAGAAGGGCTACAATCCTCTGATACAGGCAAAGAGAGCCAGAAAAAGAAGAAGACAGTTTTGCGAAGACTTGGAGATACATTGAGGAGGAGAAGCATTGGGTACTAGTCATACACTCAAATTAACAAATTTGGTTGAAATTCATGTTTAACTTTTCTTGTGTTGATCATCTTTTATACTTTGTGTTATTATGAATTTACAATGTAAAACAAAGACATGTTTGTTGTATGCTTTGCAAGTTGAGAGATGTGTTCATAAATTATATGAGCTCCTTCTATGTTGGAGTTACAGAGCCATTTCCATGGCCAACCCACTTCATGATACCTACCCTCACGCCAGAGCCGACCTATTGGTTGTTTAATTTACTGTTTTATTCATATATATATACCTGTAAGTTTCTAAGTTGCTGTAATTTGCCTATTTTTTAATTACATTACCAGTTAGTCATGACATCCTTTTGGAAAATAATTTTGTCATTCCTGAAACAGACTCCTTCCACGCTAGGATCTTTGTGCTACCTTACTTGATTTAGAGCTCATGGTCGCTTGCAGGAACTCAGCTTGTTAGAGGTAATCACTTGCAATGGCTTGCAACTGTCTGGAGACTGCAAGTGAGCCTTTAGACATATATTAACGATCAAACCATGGACTTGTTCTCTTGAAAAGAAATGGGTAATATACTAATATTGTTGTTGTCAGTTAATAAAAAAGTAATTTTCGTAGTTGATTAAGGTTTTATTTGGGACAGCTTTCTTATTGCTACTTAAAGTAGTGAAAAAATTAAAATTTTGTAAAAAAAACTGTTTTAAGAGGCAGTAAGAAAGCCATCCCAAACGAATTCATTTTAAAAAGCAGGAAAAATGATACATGTGTGGACGTTAATTCCTTCAAAAGAGAGATTATTCTGTGCGGATGTTGAACGAAACTCTACATCCGGATACAAGCCAGAATGAGCCACGTCAGCCATATCGAGCTGCGGTACTGAACGGTACCTACGCTCAATACCGTGCCACAGGCTTAGGCATCTGGACGGAGTTCCGCTTCCGCACAGAATAATTTTTCTTCAGTTAGAAATTTAAACACCACATGATAAGTAGATACTATAGCTCGAATAGTATTTAGTTGGGGCTAGTAGAATATGATTTTATAAGGCAGGGGCATCGATGATAACAAAATTAGCCATCACCGTGTATTACTAGAGCGAACACCCCTTCCATCTATCATAATTTTTTTGAAAACCTATATAGAAAGTTGATGGATATTGAAATGCATCAATTTTTTCTCTTTGAATTGATGGCTTTAATTGTATGAAAATTTATTTATTATTTTTATAAAATTTATATTATATACTGTTCAAAATTTTAGATTATGTTCAATGATTTTTAAGAGTAAGATATGCGAGAAAACATGGATTATGTATACTCGTTTTGTATTATTACATTGAGAGAGTAGATGTATTAAATTTGTCTTATATTAAGAAATATATAAGTAAATTTTAAAAAAATTGGTTTGGAAGTATTATAAATTATTATTATTTATTAAATTCAAATGAGAATTTGACTCTTAATAAAACACAATGTAGAAAAAAGATTCATATAGCTGATCCCACGTAGTGAGATAAAAGCTTGATATTGTTATTGTTGTTGTTGTTTTGTATTACTATCTATATTTATAAATACTAGTTTGATAATTATTAATAATTTTGATTTTTGACAAGCAAGTGGAAGTAGCACAAACTAGATTTAGGCTTCGTGTGAGACTACTTTTTTACTGTTTCTTAAAGTGATTTTTTAGCACAAAAAATTTAATTTTTTACTAAAAAAACTGGTTTAAGAAGCAGTAAGAAAGCATTCTCAAACAAAGCCTTGGTTTGATTATGTTTATTTATTAAAAAGATGAATGATTATAACAAATATAAACAACTTAAAGATGATAAAAATCTAAATGTGGTGCTACTCTGCTATTTTTATACTAAAAAGTTGCTTTGAGAAGTAATAAGAAAGCCGTCCCAAATGAAGCCTATATCTCAAACATTATAACGGTGAAGAAAGCCATTAGAAAGTGGAGGATGTGTGTGAACTTCACTAACCTAAACACACTATGTCAAAAAGATAGCTACGCAATGCGAGGATTGATGCCCTGCTTAACTTAGTAGTGGATAATCAGTCATGAACTTTATATTCACCTCAAATTTGGCTAAATAATAAATGAGTCAAATACAAATAAAATTTTCTCAGCACATTAATAACTAGGTCATACATGTCCATGTCCAACTATATAGGATTCATCAGCTACAAATATTTTTTTTTTATAAAAAAAATATTGTAGAGAAAATAAATTTATTAAAAATGGTTAGGAAAGCAACTATTTAGTATAAAAATTTATTAAAAATAGTAAAAAATAAAAGTCAAATAAAAATTATATTTACGATCTAAAAAAAATCATAAAAATTTATCACAAACGAAATACTAATCAACTCAATAACCACCAGGCAAATTCTAACAAGATCCCAGCTCATTCAACATTACAAATGGAATCCATAATTTATCGTTTTTTCATCCTTTTGAAAACTTCGAAGCCCCTTTGTTTTCTCCATAACTTTTATTTCCCTTATGATTTATAATTCGACATTTACAATGACTAATGTATATATTGCTTACACAACATTTGTCTTTTTGGTTGAATATGAATATCAATGAAAGAGATAAAGCGTAATCCTCACTCCATGTATATTACAATCACAAACTATAACAATCAATGAAAATAACTAAGCATGGCCCTCAGCACTTAATCCAAGAGATTTTTCATAGCGAGAAATGATTCTGTGCGGAGGTCGGGTGCACCTCTACATCCGGAGATGAATCGAATGCAGCCACGGTAACAAGACCAAGTGATATTGAGCAATACCAAGCCACGGTACCAAGCGAAGGAATAATATAATGGTGCATTCTGATTAGTCTCCATACGACATGATAGGTGTAGCAGATACAAGCCAAAAGAAAACTTTTATAAAAGAAGGATTGATAACTCAACATCAATCCGAAAATGCTTGACATCGAGTTCTAGCAATTACACAAAAGAAGATTCGAATGCTTGAAATCCAGCAATCAGATATTTGCTATGTTGATGGTTTGTCATCAATGGGATACACAAAAATTTTGTAAGGAAAAGCGATGCCCTTTTTCACTTCAAGCCTGAGGAAAAATCTATTAATGGGTGTTACATAAAATCATCACTTTGTTAAAAGAGAAAAATAAAAAGAAAAATAAAAAATCTGTGAAGGAATTAATAAGGATTGAGAGAAAAGAACTTGAAACTTTCTAATACTTTTTTTTTTTAACTTCTCTGATTACATAGTATTGAGGAATTTTACAACACTCAGCAAATCAATAATGGCACAAAGAAATTACCAAATTCCTATCTTAACACCTGCAACATAATTACACAACAACAATGCTACATTTGAGAGCGGAAAAACAATTGCATCAGAATACTCTTATATAAATTGTATCAGGATGAGCTTAAAAACTGTCAAATTTATTTTGACATTGATGATTTTTTAGTTCATCCTAATATAATTTATTTCAGGTAATCTGGCACAATTTTTGGTGTGTAAAGACCTCCATATCTGAAACAAGCTTCTTTAGGAAGAGGCCATGTTGAGCGATGTAGAAGAATTATCCATTCTCATAGCCGGCTTCATGACATGACAGCAGTTGGTTTCTTTCATCTCAACCAGCAGCAGCACATGTGAATCATAAATAATGAACAAATAGATAAGGCTTTGTTTGGGACGGCTTTTTTATTGCTTTTTAAAGCACTTTTTTTGTACTAAAAAACTGATTTGAGAAGCAATAAGAAAACCGTCCCAAACGAAGCCTAAGTCCGTGATCTCACATGATGCTATCTATCAACAGGTGGGGAGTATCTTTAATACTAATCATCATCTGTGAGCTGAGTCGTTGAGGGCCTCTGAAAATTCAAAATGGCTGACAACCCCAAGAGTCTCTGCTAGCTTCAAAATGTGCCATTGAATTGATGGCGAATCGGGAGAGACGGGCTCCGGGAGGCTCGGCAGGCAAACAGGTAAACGCTCATTGTCCTTCCTAAGTGTGCAGAGGAGAGCAAGTGCAGCCCGGCAGAATATAAACCTAATCAGAAGCAAACATTAGATATGAAAGCGCACATAGTAAGATTTTTTTTTTATTGGTTTAAGCTATGATACTTTTAAATGAATCCAGTATAAATGAACTACGAGTTCATTTGGTTTATTCTAAATATAGAGCATGGCATTCATATGCAACTCGCAAAGGCTGACAAAATCAAGTAGGAGATTCTGTTGCAACTTCACATTTCACATTAAGGCTTCGTTTGGGATGGCTTTTTTGTTACTTCTTAAAACAATTTTTAGTACAAAACATTTAATTTTTATACTAAAAAACTGTTTTACAAAGCAATAAAAAAGTCGTCCTAAATGAAGCCTAAATATGATAATTTAGGGCTTATATGATTTATTCTAAATAGAAAATGATGATTTCATTTCACTTATTTTTTTTTAAATGTGAAAATGAAATAATAATTTTTGAAAGAGTTTTAAAAAATTTTATGGAGTTGGAAATCAATATTAAAACTACATCAAACCAAATTTCACATTTTCATAGTTTTAACAAACATTCAACGATAAAAATGAAAGGCATAGGCTATTTTCATTTAACCACATACAGATATTATTCATTTTCATATTACTAAGATGAATGGTAGACCTAAAAAGACTTTGTTAGAAAATATTAGAAATGATCTTTCTTTATTAAATTTAAATGAGAAATTGACTTTTAACAGGACACAATTGAAAAAAAGGATTTATGCAGCCGACCCTCCGTAGTGAGACAAAATATTGATGTTATTGTTGTTGTATATTACTAAGATGAATGTTATTTCTCCCGACAGGGTTTTCTCGCTGGAGCTCTTTTGCTCTGTTACTTCCTTGACAGTTGTTTACAGTAGCAACTATGATGCACCGACACGGACACGGCGACACGGGACACGACACGACACGACACGGACACGGGACAACAATTTTTAAAAATATAGGACACGGGTGCGGCGTGGACACTGCATAATAATTTTTTAATATAATATATAGAAATTAAGGTGACATTATAGTAAAAATGACAAGCAATCAACTGCGACATAATAATCTTATGACACATTTTTATTCCATGGCCAAAAGTTTTAAGTATATGTGCCTTAACCCTAAAATAAGATCATTTGTAGGTGTCACCACAATAATTGCATTTGAATGACACATTCACTCCTTCAAATGTTTTTCATAGCTTTGTAAAATGAATTCATGGATGTTCTCACTAGACATTTGCAAGAGGATGTACCTTGGTGTATGCTTTTTGCTGATGATATTCAAAATATAGGATACGGGTGCGGCGTGGACACTTCATAATAATTTTTTAATATAATATATAATACTTTTTAAAAATATAGGACACGGACACGGACACGGCGTGGACAGATGGCTCTTTTGAACCTTCACCTAATCCACTCCCGCCAGCAGCAGAGCTCATTTTGCTAACAAACCAATCATACATATGAATACATCAAATTAAATTGATATGAAGTGAAATCAAAATATCCCAATAATAAGACAACATGAATACAACAATATGCCGATCTGCCGGGGGTCCAAGGGGACGCTGCCCCCTGACGGAGTTCGACCTGTAGTTATGATTGTTTTTATTCTCTAACAAAATTTTATTTTAAGAGTAATTTTGAAGTTCTGCTTGTTTTTAAAGTTCGTAAGTTGTTTGTATGGGAAGATACCGAGTGGTATAGAGCATATAACTAGCAGTACCAAGCATGTACCTAGCAGTACTGAGCGGTACCGAGCATGTACCTAGCAGTATCGAGCATGTACCAAGCGGTATCGAGCATGTACTGAGCGGTACCGAGCATGTACCTAGCGATGCCGAGCATGTACCTAGCGATACCTCATTTAATAACCGGACACGCGTGTCCGATTTTAATTTTAATTTTTTAAATTGCGACACTCCAATGCCGTGTTGGACACGTGTCTATGCCGTGTCCGATGTGTGTCCGTGTCCGACACGTGTTCGACACTGCATACCCTCTTTAAGTGGAGTGTTGGTGCAACATAGAGTAGCAGTTAATTGGGGCTAATTTCAGAGGTTCCTTCCTTAGCATTACATCGAAGTTGTTCTTTACGACTGGTTCTCGGTATTCTAGCAGAATGGGCTCTGTGGCTGAATTGGAGGGCAGCACTAAGGTTTCTCCTTTTACTAGCTGCTGCTTTCGTTTTTCAATGATTCTATTTGGTATTTGCAAATAGGTACCTAAAGCATGTAAAAATATGTATTAATTACACTTACCTCTATAGTAGATAGTTAACAATGCACATACCTCTCATTTGCTAAATTTGACTTCCAATTTGTTAAATATTATATTACATATTAACTCAACCCATTTTAAAAAATTACAATTGTTTCCCTCGTTAGATATTGAATTATTAATCAAGAACTTTAGGAATGGGAGGACAGCATAACTTCAAAACAAATATAGAAAGAGTATATTTGATATTGTGATAGGAAGCACTTGTAGATCTCACGTAATTCATATCAATATTTAAAAAACATCGAGAATTCTTCACAAAAATCCACACAAAACTAGAAAAACAGTAGATAATGTGTATTATTTGAAGAAATGGAAACGGAAAATACCAAGATACAATTGATCCTCTATTCAAGAGGAGGATCTATCTCTCCCAATTCTCTAGGCGCCGCTAGAGCCCAAAACCTAAGAGAGATCTCAAATTTCAGCCGAATTCAAGATACTCTAACCCTAGGAAAACAAACTATTTAATACATGCAATCCAAAAGAAAATCTCTAAATTGTCCCTACATTCAAATTTTCCCTCCTAAACTTCTCCTAAAACCTTCCTAATATGCTCTTTTGGACTATGCGGTTTGATCGACATATGCAGGAGGCGGAACTTCTCCGCCTCTATTGCCCGCAAGCCAGTCCCATATGGACTGGCTAGACCAGTCTAATATATTGATTGTGTACAAGGGTGGTAAATCTAATTAATCTCAAAAAATAGCCTAAGCTGAATAAAATTTTACTTTTGATGTGCAATCCTCATCTTTTCATTATTAAATTTTTTAATCAGTGTAAGACATGGAATTTTAAAACAAATCATCTCCTTGTACTAACATGAGACTTGTTTTTTGATTAACTTCCTCCCCTTCAATTTCATTTTACCCTTCCTAATATATTTTCTTTATAAGTTGAAAGCATAATTGAATTTCATGGAATTTGTTATAATATGAATTTTTTTTTAATGAGATTATAATCATTTGTGCACCCTTTGAAGTCCCTAACTATCTTGTAGTTAACTACTAGTAGGTATGGGTAATTGATTCACACACCCACTAAGAATGAATCAAGTTCATACACATTTCATTAAAAGAGATGAAAATCATCCTAGCAAGGTCAACTCGGTTCCGTTGGACAGGCTTGCAGGGTCATTCACTTAGGATCCAACTAGCAGCATGTACCACTATATATTTAGCTGATGAGTAACTAAATACAACAACAATATCAAGTCTTTGGCCCACTACGTGGGGTCGGCTGCATGAATCATTTTTCTCCATTGTGTCTTGTTAAAAGTCAAATTTTCATTTAAATCTAATAAAAAAATATCATTTCTAATATTTTCTAACCAAGTCTTTTTAGGTCTACCTCAACCTTTCTTAACATAAGTCATATCTAATACCTCTACTTTCCTAACCGGGTCATCGAAATGCCGCTGTTTTAAGAGACCAAACCAGCTAAGGCGACTCTCTCTAATCTTATCTTCCACTAGAGCTACTCCAACCTTTTCATGTATTTGCTCATTTCATATCATATCTCTAAGGGTAAAGCCACTCATCCACCTGAGTATCCTCATTTTTGCAACACTTAACTTAGTATTATGTTTCTCTTTTAATGGCCAACATTTGGCACCATAAAGCATTGCAGGTCTCACCACCATCTTATAGAATTTTCCCTTAACTTTGAGGAGGACTTTTCTATCACACAACAAGCCCAATGCAATCCTCCATTTCAACCATTCAACTTGAACTCTATTGATAATATCCCCGTCTATTTCACCATCACTCTGAACAATAGATCCAAGATATCTAAAACATGTACTCTTATTAATGTCTTGATCGACCAAAGTCACAATCCCCTCACTAGGTCTATTACTACTAAAATTACACTCAATATATTCAGTTTTAGATCTACTCAAGCGAAAACCTTTAAGGTTGACCTCCATAATTCAAGTTTACCTTCAACTCCCTCTATAGTATTATCAACAAGAATAATATCATCAGCAAAAAACATACACCAAGGTACATCCTCTTGCAAATGTCTAGTGAGAACATCCATGACTAAAGCAAAAAGATATGGGCTTAAGGTTGATCCTTGATGTAATCCAACTGAAATAGGTAAATACTTGGTCAAACCACCTTGTGTTTGAACACAAGTAATAACTCATGCATACATATCTTTAATGATTTGAATATAAGCATGATTAACTCCTTTCTGGTGTGGAACCGAAACCTGCAGAGAACAATTAGAGAGAAATAGAGCAAGATAGTGCAGAAAAAGAAGAAGAAGCAGAGGAGGAAAGAAAGGAAGAAGAAGAAGAAGAAAGAACGGGGAAAGCCAGGAGGAGTAAAAGTAACTTTGTATTATATTATCTTCTGCTTCCTACCTTCAGCCGGCTGCCTAATATAACTAGTAATTGCTGTAAAAGAAAGGGAAATACTAGAAACGTTCCTCCTGCCACTAGTTGGCAAAGAAGGCAATAAAACAGTAACAAAAAGTAAAAGAGTAGTGGAGCAGGCCGGTATTCGTTGAAGGATGTGGTAAGTTAGGCTGGTGGTGTAGGATAAGATAATGTAGCCCACATCACTTTCTAACCAAATAACTCAAATAAATCAACAATTAGCTTAATGATGATTGAATCAACTAGAACTAGCTTTGAGATGGATCAACATGATTATGTCAAACATGCAACCATTAAGCCTTCTTGCTCGGCTCTGCCAAATAACACGGCACACCACTAAACAAGTGCAGATCCATACACCAAACTCCAAACATATACACTTCCACCCTAAAAGTTGCTTGGAACAATCCCTTCCTCATACCTCTCAAATTCTAAGGAAATGCATTCCTTGTTCATTGATTATTCATTCACATTCTCAACTTCTTATTTATTCCCTAAATCTTAATTCTTACCTAAAACCTAAGCTCCACATAATATGAACATTCTTAATTGCCGCACCATGCATCTCCCATCTCTAATCAACCAAACACCCCTTAACTAACCCAATCCAAAACAAAAATCAACTCTGACCACCCAGTTCTACTTAAAATAAACCCAACCCAACTCATCTTCCTAACCAAGCCTAAACCATTTGGCCATCGATTTTTCCCATCCCAGTTTTCTATCCACACGGCCTACTCTACTTCTCCTTAATACTACTCCATAAATACAATGATGCCTATGGCAATATGTTCCTCCTCATCATTCAACAAAATATGATGCATTTTGTGACTACATTGTTCTACCTATATGGTCTAGGTAGTCTACAAGAATCAATGATTATGATCCACATTCATCTAGACAAGTTCATTCTTTTGAACTTCCGACATTATCTCACCTTTTTTTTTGCTAAGCCTGGAGCCAAGGAATTTGAATTATTTCTGAAATCACTTTCACGACGAGCTACTTCTTGATGAGGAAGATGTTCTCTCTACTTTTCGTGCTTGTTATTGTTAATGAATCTGAGCTAGAGGATGATTGACACAGAGCTCTTTCACAAGATCCACAAGTTCTAGAAGAACTTAATAGATTGAAACAAATCTTGCATATGTAGAAGAAAAAATTGCACAAGTTGTGCATTTGCATGCTGAGGTTTCCCGAAAAGATGATCAACATGAGTTTGTGATTCTGTAATTGTGGAAAAGCAAGCTTTCAACCTTCTTGTGTTAACTCCCCTCTCATATGGTGCTCCTGATTGCTCTTCTTCCTAGCTGAAACTTCGCACTCATGTAGGAAAAAGGTTGATGCTATTTTGAAGATTTTTGTTAATCGAATGTGATATGCCTCGGAAGAAAAAACGGCGAAAGAAGCAATAGAAAACTGCATGAATACTAGAAACAATGGCCGATTTTGTATTATCACTTCAATACGAAACAAGATAGAGGTGATCTACAATTAGAGAGGTAGATTAGCTCTCCCAAACAGCCTAGATGTTGCTAGGAAGCCCTCAAAGAAATGAACTACATAAAATACAAATCGCACATACCCCTAAAAATACAACAAGTTAGCCCTAAATAGGCTACCCCTAATTCCCTCTAAAATTAGCCTCTTTCCTTACTTGATTCCCTCCCCAATTTGAATTCAATTTGGATCTCTTTCCCTAATTAATTTCTCCAGAATTTTAATTAAAACTTTCCTGATTATCTCTCTCCCTATTTTTCCTCCTTACATATGGAATTAAATCTTTTATGGGCACCACAAGGTGGGCCGAACCCCACCTCCTGGTTTCCTGCTAGGTTCAGATCCTCTGAATCGGGCAGAACCGGGCAGAAGGCTTCCGCCCCTCCTGCTGGACATAAAAATACTCACCCCTCACAAACGCACCTTATCCTGAAGGTGGAAAGATGGGAACTATTTCCTGATCGTCTCGTATGGCTCTCATGTAACATCGTGCTCCGACAAATCCTTCCACTTGATTAACACTTCATGTGCCCCCGTTTCTTCTCGCATACACCTACTCCTAGGTGTTATAAAGACCTTCATATCTTCTGTCAAAGTCGGGGTAGTGAAGAAGGTGTGTGATCTCCTATCACCTTCCTCAGCTGTGAGACATGAAAGGGGAGCAATGCTGCTGAAGGTGGTAACCTCAATCGATAACCATTGCTTTAATACATTTCAAAATCTCATAAGGCCCAAAGTATTGTGGAGACAATTTATTATTCTTCCCTGCATCTATCTCCACCACAAATGGCCAGCTGAAGTAAAAGGTGCTAACATTAGTACGCTGATCATGGCTTTTTTTCAACTACTCGAAAGTCTGTGTCATTGTCTCCCCCCAAATGAAGTTATCCTTCTTCAACTGCTCAGTTAATGGCCATGCTATCATGTCATACCCTCACACAAACTTCTGGTAGTACCCGATGAAACCTTAGAACCCTCTCAGCTCCCTCAGGTTCTTAGCTAAAGATCACTCCAGCATAGCATCAAACTTGTATTGGTCTGCTGCTACCCCTGCTTTGCTCACCACATTTCCCAGGTACTCTACTTGTGGCTACACAACCGAACATTTCTTCAAGTTGGCATACAGCTGGTGCTTTCTCAACATCCCAAGTACAGTTCTCAGGTGACCTACATGCTCTGCCTCTGTAAGACTGTATATTAGGATGGTCAAAGAATACCACGATGAACTTTCGTAGGTAGGGTTGAAAAACCTAACTCATGAGGGACTGAAAGATGGTTGGGGCGTTGGTAAGGCTAAAATGCATCACAAAAAACTCATAGTCAACCTCATGAGTCCTGAAGGCTATCTTGTGTACATCCTCCAGCTTCATTCTGATTTGAAGTACCCTGATTTCAAGTCAATCTTTAAGAAGATGACCACCCCAAAAAGCTCATCCAACAGCCTATTAATCATGGGGATAGAAAACTTATCCAGCATAGTTTTCTTGTTTAGAGCTCTGTAATCCACACAAAATCTCCAACTATCGTCCTTTTTCACGAGTAGAACTGGGCTGAAAAAAGGGCTCACACTAGGTCTGATAATCCCTGCCTCTAGGTGATGGCGTGCACGCTCAGCTACTGAAAAACCACAGAAAACGCTGCACAAGCTTGACACCCAGGAACCTTGCTCCGCTCAAAATCTTGAATCCCCTCTAGGCTCTACAGCTCCACCAAATAGCTCAATCATGCTCCCTGTATCGCCTTAAGCATGGCTTTGAGTGAAACCATGGTTCTACACAGGCCGACATCTCCTCCTAGCACCCCCTTCTTCCCATCTACCTAAATTTCCATAGTCATCCCATTCAAAAACACGCTACATTAATATCCAAGGAACCATCACAATATCGCCACAAGAAAATTGCTACAGTTGCACGCTACAGTACCTTCCATCCTCACCCAAAAGAAACAGCCCACAAACACCGCTTTAACCATCAGCCACCACCCCCAAGCACAGCATCAAAAGTTTCTTTACTTCAAGGGAGTTAACAAAACTAATTCACTTTTTATTTTATCTTCAGGCAGTTACAAAGAAGATGGTGAAAAGAAAATTTAGAATTTCACAAAATTATCTTCTACGGGTTTCATCATTACTTAAAATCATAGCTTTCAATCTATTTATATGAACTTTTTCGTTATATTACAATCAAGGTTTAAATAATTTAAACTTTAATTATTATGTAACTAGAGAAAAGAACATCGATTTGTTGAAACATTATGCATTTATGTACCTAAGGATCAGCCGCCTAAGAAAAGGATCTGGCAGAACTTGAGCCCAAACCTGATCCAGACTTTCTGACGTGCAGAGAATTACTTCCCACTCAGCTATGGCGGAGGAAAGTATGGACTCTGCACTGCTACATACATCCTGAACAATCCTATGTACATATCAAATGAGGCATTTTAAACCTTCAAAATGGAAAGCAAAGCTGCCAATCAACTTACAACATCAATGTCTGACTTAAGCCCCACTAATTGGATAAAAGCCAGCAGTGGAGCAGTTAAAAAGTATGTAAACTGACTTCCAGCAGCTTCAACATCAACATTAGATACTGACGAAGGCCTCCTTGGTGAAAGAAGTAAGGCAGCTGCTTCCCCCCTTTCAGAACCATGAATTTTCTGAAAATGCAATAGACCAAAAATATTAAAGACAAAATTGAATAAGGTGGTCTGGAAATAAAGAAATGCTACATGATAAATCTAGAAAGAAATGGATATACATAACCGCAAATGCACAAGAAATAAAATAAATATCTCAGTGGATGCTCAACAAGTTACTCTCTTGGTATATTACCCAATTAAGAAATGTATATATTACTGTCGGAATATTTGCTTAGCACAAGATCATGCTTTGAGAGTAAACAAAGGACTTGCACAGTAAATAAAGGATTTTGCATAGAATCATTAGCAGGGAATTCACAAAAAAACTACTAAACTTTGTGATGATGAGTAAGGAGTAGAAGGAAGATCATATTGGACTTTTGATAACTTAATTTTTTAGAAGGGAAGCATTCAATATAAAAGAAGAATCATATAAGAGAAAGAAATTATTGAGAAAAAGAGTTGAAAGTCACGAACGGAGGGAGGCAAGGGTAGAGAGATAGAAGAATCTTCTGGCTAAGAGAAAGAGGAAGTGATTAATCTCCAGAGGATACCAAAAAAGGTCCTATTTTTATTCTATCATCAACGATCATAATTACAAGCCTTAGTTTACTGTATATATTAGGATTCGAAGACGAGTTCCGATTAATGATAGAGCACCCTTTCAATTTCTCCCAATTCGACCATGTTCCACCTCCGGACTTAGATTCTGATCTGCAAAGGAGGAGGGGGATAGCGCTATCTTCACAATCCAAGGTAAAGAATGGAATTTTTGTTTCGATTAGAGGGAGATAACAACCAATGACTGTGATAGAAAAAAATGTAAAAGCAATAGAGCAATGGGGGAAAAAACTTCTCAAATATTTTTTCAACACTTCTCAATATTTTTTCAACACTTCTCAAATATTTTTTCAACACTTCCCAATACAGATCATAATCACTTCTCAATATTTTTTCTTCACTGATTGTTTCAAATGTATCCAGAGAAAAAACTTCTCCAATATTTTTTCAACACTTACGAAATATCTGTGAAGGAAATCCGAGCTACAAACGTCGGGCACTATGCGAGTCTGAGACAAAACGCGAGGAAGGCACGTCCTGAGAAGCACCAGCAATGGGGGATTTTTGCGGGAAGGAGGAAGTCTGAGACAAAACGCATCGGGCACTATGCGCGAAGCAGATATCCTTTCGGCGGGAAGGAGACGTCGTGAGCATGGGTGGAGACGGACTGGTAGAAATTATGTTTAATAGGGTTTTGAGTGGTATTAGTGTAATATTAATAAATTAGGTGTTAGATATGTAAAATGAGAGGTATATAGTGGTATGTATGTAAATTTCCCAAAATAAAAATGAAATACAAAGGACTAAAGTAGATACCAAGCAGTGCATCACTATGGAAAAGCAATTACGCTTTACAAAACAATAGCACGCTTTACAAAACAATAGCTTGACCTTGAAGAGTACGAGTAAAAAATCAAATTAAAGTGTATTTCCTAAATTCGTTAACTTTTTTTAGCAGTTGGAAGCAGGGACACATTGCATTCAACCTAACAAAAAGTTTTCATATATAGGAACCAAACAATAATGATTCTTAAACACTACTTTGTCGTTGCGTTTTCAATAACAACTATGTTAACAAATGCAGTAATTGTTAATGTATTGGTTTATTAGATATAGGTCAACTAATAATGAAATGAGATTATATTAGAGAGAAAAAAAAAAGATTATATTAGAGAGATCCTCATAACTAAGGAATAATTCTCAATTATTTGTTTATTTATTTCGTTTTCCCATAACCCTATTTATAAACCCTTTTACAAGTCTATATAACACCAAAATTTATTTCCTGTCAACATGATATTTGGCCAAAAGAACCATAGCCGCCATCCTGTTAATCTTGTCAACAGCAAAAGCCCTAATCTCCTACCTCCCAATCCTTTTGCATGTTATAACTCTGCCCACCACGTCACATACGTAAACACCTATGTGCACCTCTAAACTTCGTTGATTGTTCATGCCTATCCACTCACTATCGCACATGTTCACTTGTTTGCAACCTTCTGCAAATAAGACGGTCTCACCTCTGCCCAAGTACCCCATGTCGCATCCCATCATACCCTTATTGTACATCGTGTGTTGTAGCCCTGCCCTTTTCCTGTATTTAGTCACTTACTGTTAGCACTCCTCCACATCAGCATGTCGATGTGGCATTTTCTGTTATGTTCCTTGAATACATGCTGGCAATTTATACTACTCTACAACAACAACATCAAGCCTTTATCCCACTACGTGGGGTCGGCTACATGAATCCTTTTTTCTCCATTGTGTCCTATTAAAAGTCAAATTCTCGTTTAAATCTAATAAAGAAAGATCATTTCTAATATTTTCTAACCAAGTCTTTTTAGGTATGTCTCGACCTTTCTTAACATAAGTCAAATCTAATACCTCTACTTTCCTAACCGGATTATCGGAAGGCCGCCGTTTTATGTGATCAAACCATCTAAGGCGACTCTCTCTAATCTTATCTTCTGCTAGAGCTACTCCAAACTTTTCACATATAAGCTTATTTCGTATCCTATCTCTAAGGGTAAAGCCACTCATCCACGTGAGCATCCTCATCTCTGTCAGACTTAACTTAGTATTATGCTTCTCTTTTAATGGCCAACATTCGGCACCATAAAGCATTGCAGGCCTATTTATACTACTCTGTACAAACATTTTAGAATCAATAATATTTCTTCTTCTTCATATCTGTATTAGTTCTTGCCTCTCTTCTTCATCATGTTAGTTTAGCCAGCAGGTCTTTCATGATATCAGAGTTGCGTATGGCGGATCAACACTCGGCGGCCTCCCTCCCACTCGCCTCCAACCTCTCCGATTCCCTTTCAAACTTCATCATCCCGGCTACCCTCAAATTCCTGATCTCAAACCTCAAGAACCTGGTTCCCACCCAACTCTCCTCTAAAACCTATGCCATATGGCATCTTCAGCTTCTACAACACTTCTCTACCATCCACCGCTCAAGAAGTATGGATGATTCTTGAACGGCGGTTACAACCTTCCAATCGCTCTCATGTGATTCAGCTCAAAAATGAGCTCCATCACATTCTAATGTGTAATTCTTCAATGCAACAATACCTTGCTCAAATTAAAACTCTTGTTGACAATATCGTTGGGTCCGGATCCTAGATTGACTCTGAAGACATCATTATTTATATATTGAATAGCCTTCCTTCCACCTACAACTCTTTCAAAGCAGCCAATCGCACATTTCGCAGTCCCATAGATCTTGATACTCTTTACTCCTCATTATGCAGCGAAGAAGTTAACCTTCAAACTGAACAGCAAAAAGATTCTTCTCTAAATCAAAAAGCCACTACCCTCTACACTAATCGGACAACCACTGCTCACGGACGGAATTTCTCGCACTCTGCCAGAGGCTAAAATCAGCCTGCTTGGGTGCCCTCCAACCCTGCTTTGTCTTTTCAACCAGTGAACATCACCTTTGACCGCCCAACATGTCAGATCTGCGGGAAAATTGGTCACTCCGCATTAAACTGTTGGCATATATGCAACTTCAAATACGCGCCCACTACTTCCTGGCCCCCGCACGCCATGCTTTCCTAGAAATCTCCCACCTCTACCTCTGACCGGGTGTTTGACTCTGGTGCATCATCACATCTAACACCTGCTTTACAGTTTGAGCTTGTTTGATTTCTTGTACATTGATAACATGTTAACAAAAAGGATGACTTCATTTTCAGATGATTTTTGTGTGAAATAAAATCATTGCATTGAGTTCTGAAACTGGTGTTTGTAGAAATGAAAATCTATATTTATTTTTACTTACATCACTGTAATGATGGAATCAAGTAATTTATTGTTTTTTAAAGCATGTTTGCTAGTTTCAAGCAATCAAAAGAGATCTTAGTGTAAAGCTACCCACAAAGAAATGACTATGTTGGACAAAAATGGGAAAAAATCAACAATCTTATCATGACACAAATGTCCTGGACAATAATTGCATAAGTTTTGACAAACCTGCCTTGAATGAATGGCTATTTTCACTATCAATAATAATGAAAAGGGGCTTCCGCGTAAAAGGTATCAAATCTTCTGGGAATAGGTTGTTTACCCCTGAAAATAGAAATAAATAGTATTGTTCAATAGCCTCAATTGAACATAGAATTCATAACGCATTTTGTCTTATAGTAGTTAAAAACACCAAAAGGAAATGCATCAATTGTTAAGGGAATGAGAGCTTCCTAAGGTATAATCTATTTTATGCAGCGAACTACAGGCTTATACCTCCACTTCCTCTTGAACCGAGACATAAACTTCCAGGGTAATCACTTGAATTTAACCAGGAATGACCGGGAGCTTGACGGAAAGAACTACCATTCTTGTAGGAATCTTGAGAAATGGGCTTTAATTGCGAGGAATCCTTTTCAGAAGGAATGATCTGATCTACTTTTCCTGAAATAGTATAAAGAGTTGTAAATCAAGGATCACATAAGAATAGTGATTAGAAGAGAAATATATAAGCAATAAGAGGTGTATGATGAACAACCTGATGCAGAGACATATATTAACAAAATGCTGTCGGAAGAGAGTTCTTCGCAGATTGTTGAAACTACCTGGAAAAATCACTCTATTGTTTAATTTATCCAACTCGGAGAAGATATAATCAAGAAAAAGGTATCATGCTTGTTTTTTTTTTTTTCAGATTTTCGATTATAAACAATGAAGACCCAAGTAGACAAGCACTAATTCCCAAGCACCGACATACATCATAATGTATTCCACAGAAAACGTTGGTGCCATATAGATGATTGTAACAAAATCAACACCACAAAGCAACCATTTTCTTATCCAGAAAGTTCAATGGTGAGCAGCTTGAAACCACACTCACCGTCATCAAATGAGAGACTGAAGGATGATAAATAACAGCTTTGCGAGGATTCGGGGGTAAAGATGGATCCGTCATATCTGCAAACAGGTTGATATCAATCAACCCAGATGCACCACTTTGATCACTACAAGCCCCATTATCGCTTGATTCTGTAGTAGCCACTTGGTAGAATGAACCGCTGGGCTCCCACTCCAAACACTGGATCATTCTGTAAGCGTCAAGAGTAAGCTCTGTGATTTTGATCTGCAAGATTTCATCATTTTGCCAACTTAAAAGCAGAATAAATCTTCAGTGACAAATTGTTTTCTGTATCATCATTACATCTCTTTTTATTTCATATATTCTGAATGATAAAAACAATGTCCACCATCTCAGAATGCTTTGGAACTTGCAATACTTAAAACTGGATACTTAAATGGCAAGTCTTTCCTTCAACTAAATACAGGGAAAATTTTCAAACCTCAGTTCTCCGATAGCTTGTTAGCAAAGCATCTTGAAGCTTTAACACTCTTCGTTTGTGTAAGCGTGCAATATATGGAAGCGAAGAAGGATGGGCATCAAACAATAAACTGTATCTCAGAGGCCTTGTATTTGTAAACGATGTATCAGCTTTCAAAAACCTGAAAATTTCTTGCAGCACTTGCTTCCATTCTTTAAAACTAGTCTCCTGTGCACCAAAACATAATTTTGAGATGAACATTTGAGCATAAATAATTTTAAGAGAGACTATTTCACCATCCACTAGGTGAGAAAATATTTGAACCATTATTTGGACCAACGAAATGCTTTTTGAGACAGAGAACAATAAGTATAGAGAGGAATTTCATGGTTTCCTGCTTCGAAGTTATATAAGCTTCACTTACGAATTATTCAAATTATGCTCATTATCAGTTCGATTTTTTACAATTGCATGGCTAATAAATGTATCTATTAACACTCTGATAAGGTAAAAGAAAAGAAAAATAATACAACATAAGAGCGTAATATTCTTGCAATAGTTAGCTATTAGTTAAATTATCAATCTTGTTTCCTTTTAAGTTGGGGTGGGTGTGGGTGGCGGGGTTTGAGATGAAGTCTAACTAAGCATAGGATGAATTTTAGTAGGGATGCACTTTGTTGTGATAGCATAATCTAATGACAATATAAAAGAGAAAGTACAAAAATGCATCTAGACGCCAAGTGCAACAAGCCAACAAGAATTAAAAAAGGTTCACCATGAACAATACATTAAAAGCATCTGTGAGTACAATACTAATTAAAGAGAGTTGATGGGAAGGAGGAAGGAGCTACTAAAAATTATCAAGGAAAAAAATGCATCTCTTAAAGTGTAGCAAAACATAGACCCTAGTGGTTTGATTAATATATTTTTTCAATAGAATTTGAAAACTAAGAGTGATACAGAACTCCCCCATACACAATCCTTCTGATGTAGAACTACGTATGAATGCGATGATTTTGTAAGATCTTGCACAACTTCTGATTAAAGAATAATGAAGAAAACAACAAGCATTTAAAAACGACGAAATAAAACGAGAGAGGGGTCACACCCGCTTAGGCTAAGTCACATAACTAGAGATTTGAAACTTTTAAAATAAATTAGAAAACAATATCATGTTGGAATAGTAGTTTCAATAAAAATCACTAATCTAACAATAAGAATTAGTAAACAAAGAAGTACACTAAAATCCATACGTTTACAAAGCTTTAGCAAAAGCAGATGGAGGCATCCTTCGTGACTACAATCAACTCGCAAGAAAGATTAGGCCAATGAAAGACACGAAGAGGAAGAGTAGGAAAAACCTTCGTCAAGGATCGGTGGCGATCGTCAACTCGACGATCTCTAACTGTTCTTCAATAGCTTCCACCAACGTATCCAAGATTCGTTCAATGTAATCCTCCACGGAGTGATCGATCCTCGGGTTGAAGTCAAAGAAGGTTGAATGTAAGATACACACAAACCCGTGTTCGTCGTAGGTTAGGCCGTATTCAGTTTCTGGATCGGCCATGCATGGATTCTTGATGACAAAAGTCCTCCCAACGATTGCTAACACTCTTGACTATTGTTGAAAAGAATGAAGTTTCTCGTCAACGGGACGTAGAGAAGAGGCCGGCCAAGGAAGGAGAGCTCAAAGGGTTTTGCTTTGATCTTGAGAGAGACAAGAAATAAAATCTGAAAATAATTTCAGATTTTATAAAGGGGATTATAATTTGAAATAAATTCAAAACGAAAAGGGAGGGGGAAGGGGCGGCGGCAAGGAGGGAGGCTAGGGATTTATTTCCAAAATCAATGTTAGATTTTGGAAAGAAATAAGGAGGTATGAGGGCTTTGAAAATTTTGGCCAAAGAGGGTTTGGGAATTTGAAATTATTTCCTAAGTGAGGAATTGGGTTTAGGAAATAATTAAAAGAGAATTAATGGGATAGGGAGAGAGGGGGGCCAGCTGCATCATGATGAGGGAGGAGATTGGAGAGATGATTTGGGTTACTTAATTAAGGCTTTAAGGAATTAGGAAAGTGATTAGATAAATCCAATTTGAATTTGAAATTCAAAGAGATTTAATTTAAGAACTTTCCTAAAATAGATTTGATAAATTAGGAAAGATTTTGAATTTCAAATCAATTGAATTTGAATTTCAAATCTATCTAAATTCGACTCAATCTAAATTAGGAAATGAGGCTTGGAGGGGAGGAGGGGGGAGCACGGGTTAGGTGGGAAGCCAGCGGGTAGAGGGGGGGTTCGGGTAAGGTGGCCGGCGACTAGTGGGGGAAAATTTGTGGAGCTCGGTTGGGAAGAGACAATGGCTTGGATATGGAGATGGTTTAGATGTAATGATGTCCGTTAGTGGTGGTGGAAAGGAAAAGGATAAAGATAAAGAAGAAAATCATGAACCCGGCCGTCTCCAAGGTTGGTGGGTGATCCGATCTCCCTCTCCTAGGAATTTCTCTCCAATCAAACTCTCAAGCTCTCACAAAAACTCATGCAAGGAAAAAATTTTAATGAATCATTCATTACTTGAAAAATAAAACAAGGGGCTATAAATAGCCTAGTACATGAGACTCAAGAAATAAAATACGAAAATGCCCTCGGGGCTTACATACGACATCCTTTTACTAGAAGGGTACAACGAAAAATAAAATAACAATAAAATTAAAACAAATACAACGACACATAAATAAAACAATACATAACATAAATCAAAAGTACAATGACTCGATCGTGGCCGTAGATTGGCGGCCATGCCTCTGATAAACCTTCAACGATCTGTCCCCATCACCTTCTATAATTCATGTTGTCACTTTGTGCAATATGTCCAATCTATAGTCATTGCTCTTGTGCATAACTTTCTGATGCGCCTTGGTATCAGAAATAGAAACACCAAAAGATTCAACACAAAAAACATATTTTTGCTGATAGAAAATCAAATACGAACAAAGCAAGATACAATGATCCTCTTTCGAGAGGAGGACCTTCTCTCCCAAACCCTAGACGCCACCAGGATCCCCAACAAAAAGAATACTACAACAATCTCAAATCAAATTCTACATACAAGCATAACATAAATCCTACTACTTAAAACAAATAATAAAACAACAAATTCTAAAACAACCCTCTCTCAATTCCCTCTCAAATCAGTCATCTTCAATTAAGAAATATCTCATAATTAATCTCCTCCAATTCAGCCCCCAAATATGCACTCTTTAATTAAGAAATATCTCCTAATTAATCTCCTCCAATTCAGCCCCCAAATCTGTACTTTTTAATCAGGAAACATCTCCTAATTAATCCCCTTCAAATCAGCCCTCAAATCAGCCTTCTTTTCTTATTAATTTCCTTCTCCAATTTGAATTCAAATAGGAGATCTTTCCCTCCTTAATTATGCCCTTAGTTACTCTCCTAACATAATGATTTATTGCTTTGTTGGGCCCCACAAGAGAGACCGAAATCTCTCTGGATTTGGTTTCAGGATCCGCCCCCTCCACCGCCTACTGAAGCGACTGGTCTAGCCTCCCTTGGCCTGCAGCCATAACACTTTCGTGCATATTCAACTACTCTCAACGGTCATTAATTGTGACGAAGTCCATGAGATTACCCAAATAAAGTCGATGAAGCACTAATCAAATTTGTGAATATTGATCACTATAATTGAGATATATATATTAGATTTGACTAATTAAAGAAATTTCTACTTTCTCTCTCAAATCTATGTTTGTTGGATAGTTGGATGTAAGTTCTTCAAGTGTGATGCAAGTTTGATTGATAATTTTTAGGATAAGTCTTCTATCAGTACTAGTGTAAGGCTTGGATCTCTTATTTGGTGAATTATATACTTGTTCCTTTTTCGTCAATATATTTTGAAATTAGTTTATGAGTATGATTGATTTTGTTCCAATTTATAACAATCTATTTTTTTTTAATAGCAGTGTAAGTTGTTTTGTTGACATTTGGATTTCATTGATCCAAAATTTATATTATGGTGATCATTATATTATCATTTGATATAAACTATGCATTTTCTCATTTTCATCAAAAGGGATAAAAGCTTTTATTGGAAAAACCTTAGTCCCTAAGAAACCGCATCAAAGAGGATCCCAAATAATTAGAGAACAAGTACTTTGATACAAAAAAAGTGATGTTCAAGATTATGGTAAGTATATATGAGTCCAAATTATGAGTCATACCATGAATTTATGTGAGCGATTAGTATAACATGGGCTTAAGAAAAGTATATCATCTTTAAAGAATCAATTTGGTTTCATGCGAAGAAGATCCACTAAGAAAGTGATTTTTGTGTTGAGCTGTTATTGCAAAAGTTAAGACTTAAGAGAGAAGGGAAAGGACCTTCATATAGATTTAATTAATCTTGAAAGAACATATGATCAAAGTCTTGTGAGAATTTATTGATGCTTAGTAACAAAGAAAGGAATTAAAGATATGTAGAAGTTAAGACATGTGATAGAGCTCTGTGTTTATGCTCAGCAAAAACACAAATCAAAATTGATCTAAGCAAATTTATTTAGTGACTTTTTTTTTTTTACAGTCATTTCAATTTTAGGTATCATGTGCTTAGAAGAACATAATGTGTCCTCTTTTATAAAATTATCTAAGTTGACTTATAGTTTGGATGGCTCAAATTAGAAGTTGTGCACTTGTGCTTGCCATAAAACTCAAATAGTCATTGGTGCAATCGATCTTCTATCAAATAAGAAAATACTTATTTTGGATCCCTCGTATTTAAGAGTTGTTGAGGGAAATCCTATGTGATGCGGACATCGGCACGAAAATCTGGCGCATCTATCACAGGAGGCGTCGTCGACGGCTCTGATTTAAGTTGTATCCAGACGGGACTCTAGCAGCTGTTTACGCCCTGTAGAGTTGCTGTCCAGAATTCTGAAAGCTGCTAAACTGCTGTCCAACAGTTTTTCTGCAGCTCCACACTAACTGGCCAGCCCCAAAATTCAATCCGTTGCTGTCCAGACTTCTCCTAGTTGTTGTTCCACAGATCAAGCACTTGACACCTCTTGCTAAGAAGGTTTGGAACGTGAAATTGCTGATCTGGAAGAGCCGTCTTTTTTGTTCTACATCACTATGTGAATTGGTGGATTAAGTAATGCTTTGTTGATGCATAAAATACGGTTCTTCAATGTAATATTTGGCTATTTCGGTTTGAACTTTAACATTATAATTTCTTCTTGGGCAGTGGTTTCAGATGGCTTATGTGTATGTTTGTTTTTTGGATTTTAATTTTAAGTTTTTAACATAAGAGTAATAAATTCTTGGACATATTAGTGAGTTTTAGCTTTAGTGCAATTACAGCAATTTTATTCAAGACCATACCTTGCAATTGGTCGGGGGAATTGGTACGGCATGGATGCTTATGGATTACCATTTTTGTGACTCCCTTAAAAGATGTTTTAATTTTTTTTGGTTGCCCAAGCTTGTTTTATACGCCTTAGTTGGATATCCATTAATTTACTTTTTCAGAAATTCTGTAAACTCAATATTCCTAAGTTTTTAGCACAGGTTTGACATTGAATTTGAAGTTTTCATTAGCTTCGAAGTTCCATCAGGATATGGATTTAATATGAGCAACCCTATGGCCATATGAATATTCTATAAACTGATATTGCGAAGCATGTAATGAAAAGATTTTGTTTCAAGAAAATTTACAATCATTTTTTAAATTGTGTATACAAGTTGGAAATGTGATTCTTGAAAGATTGCAGCGAAAGGCAGCTGCAGGCTTGGAGAAGGCGAAGAAGACACAGAACAGATAAAGGAATTGTATGTGTTGTATTGTATTGTAAACAGAATACAAGAGATTATAAATAGATGTACGGATGGCAAAGCATTAAATAGAGTGACACGTCATATGAGACGTATAACGTTCGCTAACAGCCTCCCTCAAATTAATCATTCGATGGTCGAATGGTTAATTTGCGACGAAGGTCATTAAAGCGAACGGGAGAGAAAGCTTTAGTTAAAATGTCTGCGATCTGATCCTTTGAGGAGATGTGAGTGAGTATGATGTCGCTGGAGCTGAGATGTTGACGGATGAAGTGGTAGTCAATTTCGATGTGTTTAGTTCTTGCGTGAAAGACAGGGTTCTTAGCAAGTGTGATGGTCGAGATGTTGTCACAGTGTATAAGGCTTCTTTTGTTTTTATTTGCGCTTTTGTAAAAGACTGTTTTAAAAAACATTAGTTCAGAAAATGGAATTTTGTAACAGAGAAGCATATATAAAAAGCTTTCTCAAAACTGCAGAAAAATGAAAAAAAAAAAAAAGAGTTATTGAGAATGTAATTTGACGAACCAAACAACACAAAAAAAAATTCCTCCGTTTCCAAAAACAGAAAAGGCAAAAAAACGCTCAAACAAACAAAGCCTAATTGTTGGAGATGTTTGTGGTATATGAAGTTCGGCCACTAGTCGGCAAAGCCAGATGACATCTGAGGTGGCGGCGGAGAGCGATCTGTATTCGGCTTCTGTAGATGATTTTGCAACTGTTACTTGCTTCTTGACTAACCAAGAAATGATGTTTGGACCCAAGAATGTGCAAAAATCAGATATGGACTTCTAGACTATTGAGTCTGATGCCCAGTCGGTGTAGGTACGGAGTTGTAGGTCCCCGGTGAGCATCTCCTACTTATAAGTAGACCAAAAGACAGGGTGCCTTTGATGTAGTGAGAGATTGAAAGTCTTGCATGGTAGGTTGTTTCATGTGCTGACAGATTAGGTTGGTAGCAAAGGCGATGTCCGGTCGAGCAATTGAGAGATATTGAAGTAACCCAGCAAGTTTCTGATAAAGTGTAGGATCTTGGAATAATTGGTTTTTGGCGGGTTTGAGGTTTGATTTTGGAGTGATTGGTGTGGGTGCCGACTTGTAGTCCTTGAATCCAGTATACTAAAGTAGTTTGGTCGCATAATGTTGTTGAGTTAGGAAGAAGCCTGAGGGGATTTGGAGAACTTGTATCCCGATGAAGAGTGATATCTGGTCGAGCTGCTTGAGTGCAAATTGAGAGTGAAGTTGCTTGAGAAGTGACTAGATTGCGGTGTAGTCATTCCCTGTGACAAGAATGTCATCAACATAAATTAGGAAATAAATATGAATATGATTGCGATGAAATATAAGAAGTGAGGGGTCAGAGCCCGTATAGGGATTTCTGTAATTTTTAGGATTATAAAAAACTGGTTAGCTTCTGGAACCATTGGCGAGGTGTATGTTTTAGCCCGTATAGGGATTTCTATAATTTGCAGAATGGATTTGGAAGATTATGATCTACAAATCCTGAAGGTTGGCGCATGTATATATCATCCAGAAAATCACCGTGGAGAAAGGCGTTGGAGACGTCTAGTTGAAGCATAGGTCATTTTCGATGAATAGCAAGACTGAGAAGGATGCGAATAATGGGCATTTTTGCAATCAGGCTGAAAGTTTCATGTTAGACCGGTTCATAGTGAATCGTTCCAGCCAGCCCAAGGGGGGCCGGCTCCTATGGTTTACAGGAGGCGAAATTCATCCGCCTCCTCTCTGATTTCCGCAAAAAGGGGCTGGCCCCACTATTCCAAACAAGGAGAAATTTGAAAGGAGGGGGCGGCTAGGGCTTGGGAGGGAAAACATATTAGGAAAACTTTTGTATTAAGAAGGGGGAGAGGGATTAGGGATGATTATGTTTTTGATTGATTGAAAATTATGGTTTCTTGGTGTTTGGGCTCTAGACTCTCTTGTCTAGAGATTTGGGAGAGACTATCCTCCTCTCAAATTGAGGATCACTTGTATCTTGCTTTCGTGTTGATTTTGTTTTGTTTCTCTTATTGCAATCTATCGTTTTGGGGCTGATTTCACCCAGATTTTGCTTAATTCTCATTGTTTTTCTCCAATTAGTGATAGGTTTGTTTGCGAACTCAAGTATTCCCTTAGGGTTACTTGCGAACTCAAGTATTTCCTATCATTTCAGTGTAATTTACACCGAATTTTTTATTGTAGCCTTGAGCAATGAGGCTAGCTTTGTAGCGTTCCACTTGACCGCTAGGAAGAACTTTGGTTTTAAAAGTTCATTTACAGCCTAGGATCGATTTGTTTGGTGGAGCAGGCACAAGCGACCAAGTCCCTTGTTTTTGAAAAGCATGAAATTATTCTGACATGGCGGCACGCCAGTGTTCAAATTTTGCCGCTTGGGAGTACGTGGTCGGTGTGGATGGGGAGGGAGTAGAGCTGACAAGAGTGAAGATCTATTTGGGATTGGAAATACCGGATTTCATTCTTGTTTGCTTAGGATGATTTGAACGAAGAGGTAGAAGCTGCGGAGAAGTATGTGAAGTTGTAGAAGGGGTGGGATTATTGTTGGACGTGTGTGCGGGAGAACTGGTAGAGTTGCTGGACGAAGGAGCCGGGTTATGAAGGATGAGCTTAGATGAGGATGGATTCAATTTAGTGGAACTTGGAGCAAGTGAAGTTGGAATTAGCAAGAGAGGGGAGGTGGGATTGTAGTTTGACGGTGGAGGAGGTGTAGGTGTAGAGATAGAATTTTTAGAAGGAAAGATATGCTCGTGAAAGACAGCATGTTTGGATGTATGTATTGTATTGTATTGCATTATAAACAGAATACAAGAGGTTATAAATAGTTTTATAGATGGCAAAGCAGTAAATAGAGTGACACGTCATATGAGACGTATAACGTACGCTAACAATTCTTTCGAGTACGATGCAAGTATAGCTACCTAATTCCAAGAGAAATATTCTATTAGCGTCAGTGTGATGCCTCTCTTCGATGAACTCTACAGCAAACCGTTTCTTCTCTAATATTAAGTAGTATAAAGATTTTGAAGTTCTTTAATGCCTAAAATAGTGTCAATCTGTTTTTTTTTTTTTTTTAATAGCGTCAAGCTACTTTTTTTTTCCCGGACATAGAAGGTTTTAGGTCTTTACAATACAAACTAGTGACGAGAAGTTGCAAGCGGAACTTTGGGGTGTGCGGATAGAGAAGTTGGGGAAATTTAAGCTATGAATTATTTCGGCATAACACCAGTCCCCAATCCCCATGTATTCAGCAAATTGTTCGAAAATTCGAACTCTCAAAAACAAACTCTTTCAGAAGCCTGCTGAAGTTAATTAATCCGATTACTATAAAAAGTACAAAGAAGTTAGACTACGAGAGCAGAATCCCTTTGCATACATGGATGTTCAGTAAAGAGAGGCAATTAGGGGGCGGAGGATGGCAATTTCCCTATTCCTACTAGAACAGAAATGCGGAGCTATTAACATCAATAAATAATCAGAAGTTCCCATTATTTCGCGACAATTTTGGCATCCAGTCATAATCATACAACTATTTTCATGTCAGCCAACTAATACACCAGGCTCGAAGGTCGAAAATGGCAACAACTACAACATAATATTAAGTCACTACTCAATAAGATTAAGGGAAAAGCTCGCGAAGATTCTTCCAACACGCCTAAACAGCGAAATCCACTCGCAAAACGCGATGGGCTTACCCCGAACCAAAACCAGAATAAATGAAAGCAATAGAAACAACAGTAAAATCACAAAGTAGCAGGTACTAAATCCAAATTACCCGGAAAACTGATTTGCTGTTCTCAACCAAAGCCCTAAACCTCTCAGCCAAAGTCATAACCACATCCTTCCTATTAAGCAGCATCGCCACAAGTAGGAACCTCGCGTGGAACCTCAGCTCCTTGAACCTCAGCCCTAGATCCGCCCCCGTGGCCAACGGTGGCTCGAAGTACCTGCGACTGAGTATAGCCTCGTAGAAGATGTAAGACTCGAGGAGGAACCTCGCCTCACTGGTTCGCTGGTACTGACCATAGTAGAGCTGGCCGATTCGCGAGGCGATCTCGCCAATCTCCCACCGCCTAAGGCCGGCGGCAACGAGCTCCCGGCGATGCTCCTGCTGGAACCTCCAGAGACGAGTGTAGGTCTTGAAGACTTTGCGGTAGTAGACGATGTAGAGGGGGCCGCGACCGTACGGAGGCAGGTCGCGGACTCGTGCGAACTTCCGGTCGGCGCTCTCGATAAGGGAACGAAAGGTCCGGAAGGCTTCGCCGTCGACGTCGTCGGACATTGCCGGGAAAGGAAAACAGATGCTGTAGTGCGGTTCCCGTTAGTGACCGGGATCTTGTCCTATTGGAACTCTGGAGTTATTATATGGTAGCGGCCATTTTGCACTGAAAAACGCCTCAATATCTATAGTAACAAAACACCAAGCTTTTTGGTTGTTTCGAGTCTGTCGTTAACCATATATTCGTTCAATTTTACCTTTATTTAGAGTGAGACTCATTAGGTCAACTTTATTTCAATAGCAAGTGTTTGGAAATAATTAAATCAAATTTCACATTTATTTAATAAAAATGAGCTTAAATTCTATATTTGTCCTCCCGATTAAAAATAGGTCAAATTATAAAAAGAACATAGTTTTAACCTAATTAAGCAGTAGGAGCACAATGAGGGGAAATTTTAATATCAACAAATACATAGGATGGAGAATAGAGTTCAACATAATGCGGAAGAGAAATTTTCGTAGAACCGCAAATAAAAAAAAAATTGTCATAACTATAACCATCTGTAAAACGCGCAAGGCACATTCTTTTAGACCGCACGACAGTGCGAGTCTGGCTCTGGTAGGTGGCGACAGCGACTAGCCGGCCGATTCGGCCTCCAATTTGCATTTGGGCCTGATTTTTGGTCTGAACAGCCTAATTCTGATGTTTTTGAGATCCCTGGTACAATTTGTTTACATTTTAAACTCAATTTTGACTTATTTAGAGCTCAACGGAGCTTCTATAACCAATTTTAATTTTTTTGGGGCACAATTTTTTGACAATTTTTATCTAAATCAACTAGTCATCCTCACAACAATCCAAAATAACAATTAAGGATACTTCACTTGGTTCACGGCCCCGAGAGGAAGTCCATATTAACATCCAGTGAGAGGTCGCGCCTTGAAATTATTCGAAAATTGTAATATTTGTATTGAAACAATTAGAAAAACTCCAAACACATATTTTCAGACTTTGCAAGTTTCGATGTTCGAAAATAGAGACCCAACTGATATATTATCAAATAAAATTTATGATCGGGCATGAATTTCGAGATAAATCTGAATTGGAGTCTTCTGAATTAAATATGGGACCATTCAAACTCTAATTTCAGCAAACTTATAGTCGAGCTGAACGTTTCGAAATGATGAACCCAACAACACCAAATTCGATCCAATCTGAGTTCAAATAGGTCCAAATTGAGGACTCGAAGCATATATGGAAGGTTCGAACCATAAATTGGATAATCAAATGACATCCAACTATTACATGCTTATAGTCAAATCAAGCAGTTCAATGAGACAAATCAAACAAGCTCAAGCTCACCAAATTTTGACATTACTAAGGCACTCAAATACTCAATAAATGATCCATGATCAAGAGAGTTGATATCAGTAATTCCTTAGAAACAATCTTAACTTGCCCTTAATTTTCTCTCTGTTTCCGGCCATGGCTCAAAAAAAAAAACTTTGAATAACCCCTCATTCTTCACTTGAAGGGGGACCAAGCAAGGAAGAGAAATCAGAGTTGTCTTACCACCAGATTCCTCCTTGAACATAGTCCCTCTGACCACTATCGTCCGCCAATTACAATCCCTATAATCTCCATCGCCATACAATGGCCTTTCTGACCACCGCCGTCTGCCGATTACGAACTTTTTGACTTCCATTGTCATACAATGGTCTTTCCGACCTCCGTCGCCCGCCCACCACAAACCTTCAGACCATAGTCACTCAACTAAAATCTCTTTCATCACCATCGCCAACTACAATCCTTTCAACCGTCATTGTCTGTCCACTACAATCCTTCTAACCTCTGTCGCTAGACAACGGTCTTTTTGACCACGGTCGCCCTCCGACTATGGTCCTTCTAACCTCAGTCGTCTAACAACAGTCTTTCTAACCACTGACACCCTTCGACTATGGTCCTTTTTAACCTCTGTTGCTACACAATAGTCTTTCTGACAATCATCCCTAACTTATGGTCCTTTTGACCTCCATCACCAGACAGGTTTTTTCAACCTCCGTCGCCCCGCTGACTATGATCTCTTCGACCTTTGTCGTAAAACTAGGCAACTGGAATGGAGTTCGATCAGAATGTCAGACGAATCCTTTCACTATTTGATTCTGGGGCATCACATTCTGTCCTCCGTCGCCCCGCCGATTACGATCTCTTCGACCTTTGTCGTACAACTACGGTCCTTCTAACCACCTTCGCTCGACTACGATATTTCTGTCCTCCGTCGCCTGCCGACTACAATCTCTCCAACTATCATCTCCAGGCTATAGTCTCCCCAACCGTTGTCACCCGACTTTGGTCTTTTTGGTCTTCGTCGCCTGCCAACTACAGTCTTTCAGCCTCCATTGCCTGACTATAGCCCTTCTGACCACCGTCGCTCAACTATGGTCCTTCTGACCTACAACACTCGCCAATTATGGTCCTGCCGAGCAAACAAATATATCAACATTGAGTCTTCTAATTCCCACCATATAATGCACTATATATGATTTTTATTTGTTACATTAAGCCAATGTCTTCCCTCAATGAAGGGCCTCTTTTGTAATCAACCACAAACACTAGTGGATCATTAAAATTTGGTCAGACTTTATAGTTTTTTTCCTTTTCATGGATTTTCACATAAAAATTTTAGTGTCTCTTATAAATGTTACACCATTTTTTTTCATCTGATTGTCTATTAGATCTTCGTATATTTTATATTTCTCTGTCATCGTGAATATTCTAGCCCGCAATAATAATAATAATAAAATTATGATAAAAATTGAAAACATTTAATCTCAGCGTATATTATATTATATTATATATATATATATATTATATATATATATATATATATGTATATTAATTATTAGGATAAATATTTTATATAATATATGATAAAATTGGGATAAGATAAATTCGCACGCTCATTTATAAAAAAAAATATATTTTTTTAACTTAACTTTTTTCTTTTATTTCCTACACCCCTTTCTGGCTTCAACTACAGCTTCAAACCTCAAAAACTCAATAACTGGACAGCGAAGTCAGAGCCTGATTTGACTTTCTCGACATGCTATAAATTACTCTTTTATTTTTTTTTTTTTTACTTTTTTGAGATATTTAAGTTATTTAAGTAAAATTCATAACACATATCTAATCCTAAATCTTTATTGAAAGCTAAATTCTCAACCAATAAGCAAAGAGACTGTGAAATAAATTACTCGAGAAGAGCCTTTCCAAAAAAAAAAAAAATATTAAATCAGAAAAAATCCCAAGTTAAAATCTGAGAGAGTAATCTCAGGGAGATTTCAAAACGAGCGGACATAAATTAGGCTCGGCCAAGCTTACCTATAGGCCTCAAACGATGCCATCCATGGAAGCCCCCCCAAAACCGAGCTACTGGGGGCTTAAATTATCGTTGACTTAAAAACGAAGTTGGAAGAACTCGCTTAAAAAGAATGAATTTTTGCCTCAAGTCCGGGTCAGAGTTGTCGGGCTCGCACGGTAAGTAAAAAAAGCACGCTGCAAAATAATTGAATTTCATCGAGCCGGATCGTCGAGTTGCAATGTCACATCTTCCTATTAGAGTTCGGATTGTATAGATACGTCTTGGTCTCAAGACCCATTAATTTCCCCAAAATTGGCCCTTCTTTTCCGTTAAATAGCGCCCCATCGTGATCAGCTTAGGAGACCCAATTCTTTTATTTTGAATTAAACTATAAATACATCTCAACTTCTATTGTTAGTTTTGGAATTTTTTCAATAACTGCCAAGTAATCTTTCGGTTGTAATTCCACAAATTATATAAAAAAAAGTTAAATATTGGGTTCTACTTTTTTTAATAAAATGAATTTTGAATTGCGTTATTTTTTAAAGAATGTAATAATAAAAAAATAATTTTAATGCATTTATTTTAACAAAAATACATTAACTCAAAATATATTAATTATTTTTTTAACTCTAAAATATATTATGTTTATACTTTGAACGAATATTAAATTAAATTTTTTCAACATCTTTTACGGAAAAAAAAAGAAAAATTGACTAGAAATTATCACAGATCTGGCCCAAAAGCTACATTAATGCCTACTCTTAAATTTAAACTATTATAATTTTAAATAAAATCCAACAGAGCATTGCTTATATGATATTCAAAATTTTATCTATTTATAAACCTAAAGTTCATATAAACTTTTCCAATTATTAAATTCATGTGGAATAAATAATATATTATATATATATATTATATATATATATATATAATATATATATATATATATATATATATATATATATATATATTTTACGAAACCTACATATGGAGCCAAAACTTTAATTTTAAAATTGAGTTACAAGTCTTTAGTGAGTCAATAACCCTCTAAAAATATTACATTTAAAGCAAAACCTACAAACATTTGATTCAATCTATTACAAAACAAAATCACAAAAAAAAAAAAAAAAAAAAAAAAAAAAAAAAAAAAGAGAAAAGAATAGCAAAAAAGTCAAGGAGGGCCACAACCAAATAAAACAAAACAAAACAAAACAAAAATAAAGATTTCAATTGTCCAGTTGTGAATGTTATACTTGTGTAATCTTATAAAAGAGAAATCACTCAAATCAGACACTTATATTCTCAAATAGTCATCTTATTTTTCAAATGTGAGGAAAGAATGATTCTTATATATTCTAATATATAGCGAATTTTTTATCTGGGTCAAGTCAAGTGATTTTTCCCTTTTTCCAAATTTTCATATAAATAATTTTTATCTTACTACTTTTATTTGAATGTGATAAATTTTTGTAGAACACTAAGATATAAAATAACACTCTACATGCTCAAATTTAATTCCTAGCACATAAAAGTTATGAATTTCAATGTTTAGATATGACACCGGCCAGGTAGGGGGCTCGACGAATCCACGTCGACAATCCGGTGAAATCCTTCAGGATACAGAAACCCAAAAGCAGAGTAAAAGTTACTCAAATATTATTCATCTCAATCTTGCCCTTATTACAAGACCTTGGCTACCTATTTATAGCCAGCAAGGAAGCATCATACTAGGCTACATACAGAATAAGAAAGAATTAAACCTTTATATCCCTATACTACCAAATGGCATTAATATAGCCTGAAGTTTAATACAAATAACGGCTCA